TTTAATGATACTATATAAATTAAACAGAGATTGCTTGATGACGTAGTATTTGCAGAATTTGATCGCAATTCTAATTTTGTTCATAATTATATTTTATTTGATATTGTTGCGCACTTAAGAAACCAAAAAAATTGTAGTCCTTGTCGAATATATTTCATACGTGATGGAATTGTAGATAGTTTAATGGAACAATAAAAAATATTTTAGATAAAGTATTATTTATTTCATGATCTAATAACAATAGTTAAATTTACAATATTTAAATTAAAAACTATCAATATTAATATATATTTTTTAAAATTATTTTATAACCTTAATTTTAAAAGCATTTTTAACCAAACACATTAAACTACTTTTTATTCAATCTCAATTTCAACCATAGTTTGAACCAAACATACATAAATACCAAATCAACCTCAATCAAAAGTATTTTTTATAAAACAACTTTTTTCAAATTACAACCATAAAAGCTACCACGATATTATACACACTCTAAAAATCACTTTGTAACCAGGTTATATGAGCAATGACCAAATTCAGATATAACATGGAAAGCAAACAAGAATATAGATTAGAGGAAGCAATTTGTATATATAATATCACCCTTGGATTCTTCCATACATTGCTGTAAATAAATTTGGGAAGAACTGTCAAAGGAAATACTTATACCTACACATTTAATGCCAGTAGATTCTTTGACTACTTATTCTTTCCTTTATTGGGATATACTAGTGATAGGTTAACTGTTTTTAAAGGTTTAAGATCAACCTTTATTATTTTCTATATCAGCGTGTATTATTTCTTTTCTTAGTTTGTAAATTCTACCTATATAATAGGCAATTCTCAATGAGAAGACATACAATTTTATTCAAAAGACTTTAAATTGTCATGGTATCAGAGCTATAACTCTAAATTATTTTTTGCTATCAACTTTTGTAGTCTCGGTTATTCTTGATCAAAGTTCTCTTGACCTTATGTCTTCAGATAAGTCTGATATTTCTATGATTCGTTTCAATGGCAAGAACTACTCTGCTTGGGTGGTTCATTTCAGAATTTTTGTCAAATGTAAGGAGCTGCGGGGACATGTTGATGGAAGTAACCCAGCTCCTGACAAAATCAAAGACATAAACTAGCACGCCAAGTAGGAAGTCAAGGACGGTCAAGTTATGGTTTGGATCTTAGGATCTGTCGAACCTAACATCATCTTGAATCTTCGATCCTCTTATACTGTAACTTAGATGTGGACTTACCTGAAGAAAATCTATAGCCAATAAAACACTGCTCGTCGGTTTCAGCTTGAACATGAATTAAGCACTCTTCAACAAGATAGTCTTTCTATCTCTAATTTTTATTCTAGATTCACTAATCTTTGAACTAAATACACTGTTATAGTTTATATTGGCTTACCATATAAAAGTCTTAACTCTATTCAATCTGTTCATGAAACTACTCAACGGGATTATTTATATTAAAATTGAGACCTAAATTTAAAGGTACTAGATCCACCCTAATGAACCAAGAATTTGTTTCCTCCTTGGATGCATGCCTTAGTGACTTCCTTCATGAAGAACAACACTTTCTCACTCAAACCATCATGGAACAATGACGATCTACATCTATTCCTGTGGCCTATGCAACACAAGGTAAACCAAGAGGCAGGGATATAAGCACTATTCAATGTTTTTGTTGTAAGGGATTTGGCCATTATGCTACAAATTATCCCTGAGAATTCTGCAACTACTATAAAAAAGATGGTTATATCATCAAAGAATGCCCTACTTGATCTCCTAAGAAAACAGAGTCAACATATACTGTCTCAGTTGGCTCTTCACTTCTAACACAACGTGCTCCTCCTCCTATCCAATCCGTGACTCCTACCATGATTCAACAAATGATCATTTCTTCATTTTCAGCTTTGGGACTCTCAGGTAAAAATCTTTCTACATCATCTCCTTGGTATTTTGGTTCAACGACTTCAAATCATATGACAAACAATGATGCTTCTCTTACCAATGTCAATGAAAATTTTAAAAATCTCAAAATTCATATTGTTGATGGCCGTCATTTACCTATCACGGCTACTAGTGATGTTTTTCCCTCTCTCACTGATGTTTTTATATCATATGGTCTTACCACCAATCTTGTGTATGTCGGTCAGTTCGTTGAAAATAATTGTAAACTAGAATTTTCCAAAACTGGTTGTGTTGTGCAGGGTTAACAATCAAAGAGGATGATCGTGAGGAGGCCTAAAGTGGGATGTCTTTTTGCTCTTCAATTTCTTTTGTCTCCTTTTTCTTTGCCCTTTATCACTTGTAATTCTACTCATGTTGATTATCGAGCGTGGCATAAACATCTCAGACATCCAAACTCTAATGTTCTTCATGATTTATTGAAATCTGGTTTCTTTAGAAATAAAGGTTCATCATCTCTTAGTACTGTTTAGTTTGATTGCAATTCTTACAGTCTTGGCAAAAGTAAAACTCTGCCCTTTTCTATTCACACACCATAGATAGTCCAACTTTTCAATTTGATACATACTCGTTTCATATTGATTTATTTTCTTCATTCTAAAGACAATATTTTTTGTTTTTAAGATTTTTCGTGCACATATCTAGACCTAATTTTCAGCCCAAATCAAAATCCTTCATTCTGATAATAGGGGTAAGTATATGTCTCATTTGTTTTAGGACTTCTTACAATATCATAGCATCATTTCTCAACGGTCTTGCACTTCAACATCTTAACAAAATAGGGTGGTTGAAAGAAAGAATCATCATCTTCTTGATGTTGTTTGTACTCTCCTATTAGAGTCATTTACACCTTCTTGTTTTTTGTGTGAAGCTCTCTCCATTGCTATCCACCTCATCAACAAATTGTCTTCCCTCACATTGAACCACAACACTCTTTTCATCAGGTTGTTTAGTCATCCACCAATTTATTCCAACCATTTTACCTTTGGTTATGTTTGTTATCTTTATTTTCCTGCACATGAACACACTAAGCACATTGAGGTTAACTGTCACTCAATTAGATTATCACCCTTCCACATATCTCCACCACTTTGCAGATTACAGATATCTTCACCAAATTCATGCCCCGTCAGCACCATCATTTTCTTACTGGCAAATTGATACTTGTTGATTTACCAGCATTAATTTGAGGGGGATGTCAAAAGAAATATTTATACCTACACATTTAATACCAACATATTCTTTGCATATTTATTCTTTCCTTTATTGGGATATACTAGTTGTAGGTTAGCTGTTTCTAAAGGCTGAAGATCAGCCTATATTATTTCCTGTATCAGCCTGTATTACTTTCTGTTGTATTATTTCTTTTCTTAACTTGTAAATTTTACCTATGTAATGGACAATTCTAAAAAAGAAGACACATAATTTTATTCAAAAGACTCTAAACTGTTAAGGACTAGGGATGTGTTAAGTAAAGATGCCAAGGCAATGGCATTGCATGTCTGTCATGAGCAACAATTGTGTCACTAAAATATACAATGACAATTCTGATAACAAGGAAAGATATAGAAAGATGTATGAAGCATTCACTAGCAAGATAATAGCTATATTAAAATGAGATTATCAAATTTCAAATATAAAAAATTCCTTCAGGAAAACCTCAATGCTACTACATCTTATAATCAATTTAGTAAAAAGCCTATATGGATTATCTAAGCTTCAAAATTGATTTAGAAGGGAAAGAACAAAAGTTATGGCAACGAATGCCTCAGATTTAAAGCAACATCTTAATAATTGATCATTTTGGACTATTTATTAACGTATTTCCTCTTTAATGATGACTCCAACAATTGTTATAATTCATCAATTCCCTCTTAACCATAAGAGAATTCAAAGGCAAGTCCCACATTGTACTTTATCAAATTATAGTCACACACAAAGATAGGTTTCACATAATTTCAAAGTCATTCTTCCGCTATCTACAAACTCCATTCTTCTACCAATGAGCTAGAGTTTAATTGGCATTAGCGTCCCCTCTTCTCAATTTCAAACATCCCCTTTGTAGAAAGAGAGGAAAAAAACGAGTCCACTCTTTTAATATGTGTAAGGCCAAGAGAAACGATTTAAATTCCATGGAGGAACTTATAACTCCATTTCCGAGTATTGAAATCCAAGACCTGTCCACGCTGTTGCAATTCAAAAAAGCTTTATCTGTTTAAAAAATAGAGACATAAAAAAAAGCTAAGCTATTTATTGTATTATCTATTTTCTGGAACTTCCAAATTTATTTTTCATACTTGAGTAGATTCATTTTATTTATCCCTATAAATCATATTCATTGAACCAAACTTTATGTGGATGCAAACCGAGTGTGAGCTATTCGTTGGATATAATAACTTAACTTTATGTGGATATGAAACTTATATGAGTTAGCCATCTGAAAATGAGATTTCCTATTAAATGAGTTATGATTTCTTTAGAAATTGCTGAAAGAAAAGGTTGCAATTGTCAAAGAACCATTTCAACCTAATAACTTAAGCTTTTACGTGAGGTCTTAGGATATGATTTATATTATTCTATTCTTTGGACTTAAAATTATCTTGTACTTATTTTTTATCAAATAAATAGAGATGATGAGATTCGAACTCGTAACTGCTTAGTTATCAAAGCTTTAATACTATTTCAAAGAACCATTTCAACATAAAAACTTAAGTTATTAGGTAAGATTCCAAAATATAATTTATATTATTCTCTATCAGTAAGTTACTACATGAAATATACAAGAGACTGTATCTTCATCTTTGGCTCATATACAAGACATCTGCTAACTTTTTAACATTCACTTTACTTCTCCGTGCTCTCATTAATGCTAAGACCATACCTACGAAGATGTAAGAAAACATGGTATTTATTGTTCTATCCTATTTTTCTACTAGAAATCTTTCTCCCTGATAGATATACAAATTGTTTCAGTTGTTTGTGGTAAATTGCCAATTAATTCCATAGCAGTAGCTGAAAGGTTTAGACACTTACAGCTACTCTTTGTTGATTGAGACCACCATATGCACTGACCATTATGTACCAATTGTTTTTGTCAGTTGCCCTGTCTCAACAAAATAGTTTTCTTAATCACGGTATTTCTGGTCATTTAATTTCCCAGATTTTATACTTTCATCACCGTTCATTATACACTAGACATTACTTTTACACACAAAAAACAGAAGATGTTAAATTACCTTATTTTTCTGCTCTTTTCTATCTCCACAATGTTTCCATAAAGATGCCTTCCGTGGTTCCTCCCAAAAATTCGACGTATCTTGCTTAAACTCTTTCTAAAGCATAGAAGGGGTTTCAGATTCATGATATTAGATACCAAAAACCCATCTAACATGAATGTGTTAAATGTAAAATTTTTGAAGCAAACCTCTGTAAGAGCACTGTAAGCCAAGTTTTGGAGCCGATCAGACATCTGGACTGGACGTTCCTCTTCATTAGCATATGCAGTTCTATCCCTCTTTAGATACAATATATAATTACCAATTAACTAAGTAACTGTCTCGAACACCCAACCTATTAACTTATTGAAATTTGAATATTTTTTGCTATTAAAAAAAGAGAGAGAGAAATTATTCGGCTGGATCCTATATGATACATAGAGAACTTGATCTACAAAAAAGAAAAACTAAAAATTCATAAGTCTTTCAGATTTAATGATAGGCTAGCAAATGTTTTCTTCTAAGCAATGTGCGGAAAGGGAAGAAGATAAAAATAGGGTTCATGGTCCATTATATGATACATATAATCATAAAAAAAAAAAAGAACAAATAAAAATTGCATGACAAAATGTGAAAACAAGTCGCATGTTACTGAAGTTCATTTGCAAACTTAGAACTAAAACATTATCCACTAGTCTCCACTTCGTTAGCTGAATAGCAGAATTGGAATGTCAATGCAATGAATAATTGTATGCTGTAGAATGTGAATGATTAGTAAATTGTATAGACCACAGGAAGAGAAGTGAATAGTTAATTCGAAAACGCAGTTGTTGTTGTTGTCATCTA